GTGTCACTTAATATGCAAATGAGTACCTTTTACAAAAAAGAACCCTGTTTCAAACTAATAAGAAATATTTATTAAAGGATAGTGCAGATGAGAGAGAGAAATAGATTGCCTATTCTAGCTAGCTGGATGTTGCTGGATGCTGGACGCTTGTCCATCTTCCGTGGTGCAAGATGGAGAGAGAAACAGGCACCTTTCTTTGTGTGCGAGTGAGAGTAAGTGTGACTGCAGCAGAAAAGAAATTGCTCCCTAAGAAGTATCAGTCTACCCATCAAAGTGTAGATGGGGGGCCAGGTAGGAATTTTTTTGCCTCTCTTCTGATTGGCTGCTGAAAAGAGGTGTTTTTGGCCTACCCTGTACTGCAGTTAGAGGATTGTGGAATTGGCAGGGGTGGTGCCGTATGATAAGTTTGTCATTTTACAGTTGGGGCAGTGTTATGTCTTTGGGGGGAGTTTATGCAGCTTGGTAAGCACCAATGAGGAGCTGCGGTGGCTCAGTGGTTAAGACGCTGAACTGCAGGCTGTGGAAGGTCGGTAGCTCGGCAGCTCGAGACCCGTGTGCCGCATGACGGAGTGAGTTCCCATCTCTGGTGTCAGCTCCTGCCAACCTAGCAGTTCAAAAGCAATAAACTGCAAGTAGATAAATAGGTACCGCTTCGATGGGAAGGTAATAGCGTTTCGTACGCCTCGGCGTCTAGTCCTGCTGGCCACGTGACCATGGAGACGTCTTCGGACAGCGCTGGCTCTTCAGCTTGGAAACGGAGATGAGCACCGCAACCCTAGAGTCAGATTAGATTGGTTTTCGAGCAAGGGAAACCTTTACCCTTACTAAACAGCAATGAGCAACCCTGTGGGGGTGTAGGGGTCTGACGGAATCATCCCTGCGGCTGCGTGGCCAAGGATGGGGATGGCAGATTGCCCTTTGGATTGCCGGGACAGATCTTCTGCGCAGGCTGTGTGGTTGCGTTGGAGGTATCTTCACGGCATATCCCATTGCTGTGCCGGCCGGGTGCGAGCCACGTACAGTTGCCATTGTATGACAAGGATGGGGCTCTGGGGACCCAAGGCCTTGACCGTGCCACTGTTGTAGTCTTTACCCTTTGCCGTTATGATAAGTTAAATAAAGTGGCCCTTCGTTTCCCAACCTGTGGTTGTGTCACTCTTTCTTCCATCTGGGGGGGGGGAGGAGCAAAGGCACATTTTGGCTGTGATCATAGGCGCGAATGCCAGGTGGAAAATATTTTTATTGGGTTTTCAATACAATGCTACACCTTTAACATATTCCAAATAAACAGTCCATCCAATTATTACCCTCTATCCCTACTTTCTAAACAGCAACAAGTCCGCCCAACATTAAGTTTTCCTTCTTGATCAATCATAAACCAGAACATTTTTCCAATACATGCATCCATTAACAATATTTTATAATTGTCTTTATCCACCTTATATTTTCAAGACAGTCCAGTATCTAATTTTTCACGTATTCCTACAATACTAATTCTATTTTAATATTTTCTTTTGTCACTCATTTATAACTAAGCCAGTATTCCAAGCACTATATATACCTTCCAACCTTATTCAAATCAATTCATTCACATTTTCATACTCTGCCATATTAATACACCTTCAAATTAATCAATTCATTTCATTTCATTTTATACCAAACCAAATAAGTAAATAGGTAAAAATTACATAAATATTTTCCCCTGTATATTTAATTTATCTTTTGTAATTTTGAAATTTCCTTCCTATTATAATTTACTTTTACTATTCTGTTCAATATACATAAACCATTCCTGCACTTGCTTATCTCTCCCATTTTAGAGTAGTTTTGACATTCCCCCCCTTTTACTGTCTCCTAACCTTATTATCCCTTCCCTAACCATACCTTTAATCTCCCCTCAGCCTTACCATTATTTTCTAAATCTTAACAACATAACACTCAATACCTTCCAAAATACCCAGTTTCATCAAAAATATTACAGAGAAAGAAAGAAAAAACGCAAAGAAAGAAGCACCTCCACAGCCATATATAATAGAGAAATAATCATTTTAGTGAATCTTTTTTCAGTTACTCTAGTCTAGACAATTCATGTTATGAACCTATAATGAAACTATAAAATTCCTGATATCAATTTACTCTGGTCTGAACATTCCATATTGTACACCCATGATCAGAATATAAAAATCATACATTGAATTCGTGTAATATGATTTGCCTTTTATACATCATTAATTTTCCTATCCTCAGTAGCACGTCTATATGTTCTTTCCCTTTGCACAGATGGTAATTCATTTCCAATCTCTCCTCAATGTATTTGAAAAAACCTGTCTCCATGTCATCCTAGCCCCTTTAACCTTCCACACAGTTCGATATTGTCTTCCCCTTTTCCCCTTTTTCTTCACTTTAGACATCATCCCTTTTCCTTTTATCTTCTCTCTCTTCAATTTGTTCCTTTTGATTATTTCCTTATTTTGCCTTGGTTCCAATATATTTAGCGGTTCCATATCTGCCTTTTCTTGCTCCACCTCCGCCATCTGCTCCATACTCTCCGAACTCTGGGTACCTTTTTCAATAGTCTCATAGCTCTCCACCAACATAGGGGATTCATGGAGACTTGCAAATGCTGCTTTAATACCCTCTTGAATTCCTTCTTTTAAAGCCTCTAGAAACTGCCCCACCGTTATTTCTCCAATCAACATGTCCCCATCCATTTCATTCTCTACCTCATTTCCCCTTTTGAATGTCATTTTCAAGCAGTTAAAGTCACAAAAATCTCAATATCAATAGTCCTGTCCTGAGAAAACAACACCTTTTCCCCCGGAAGAACGCCAAAACAATGTACTTAGCTCTTTCTCTTTTCTGGCCGCTTTCTTTTCCTTTTGCGCCAAACAGTTCGGGTTTTCCACGTTATCAACTTAAAGATGCATGCACTTGCTATAAGTCACCTTTTCTTCATTGCTGTATTTGCCATTGTAATCCCATACGAGTTTAAATAAAAACAAACGGAAGGCAGCAGCTATAGAGAACATGGCGACCATGTTCTCTCTCAAAATCCACGTTCGCTTCGGGTTAGGAAGCAGACACCCTCCCCGCATTGCCAGTCATGGGGGGGGGGTGCAACAGAACCCCCTGCTCCAGTTCTCCTCCCAAGAGAACTGTCGGGACTCTCCCGAACTCCGGGAGGCCCCGTAAAACGTGAAAAAGAGTCGGGCGTCTCGGAGTGACCCGAGCCGCGCCCATCGCCACGCCGTGACACCGGAAGTTTTTTTCATGCCAGGTGGGTTTAAAGGGAGCGATCAGACAGCGACATCTGGGAAGCATCCTGCAGCTGTTTGCAACCCATGCCGCTCTGCCGCAAAAGTGGAGTTAAAAGACACCGTTGAAAATCCGGTACTAAATGGGTTGCTACAGGCCATGGGCAGACTTTTCCCTGTCTGGTCGCTCAAGTGCACTCTCATGCTGTTGGGAAGGTCTGATCAGGCCATCCTGACTCCATTGTTCCCCCCCCCTTTGCAGTATGCACATCATCACGAGTTCCATAGGGAGCCCACAGTGCAGAGGTGCAATTCCTCATTTAAGCGCATGGGAAAGAAACAGCAAAAAAGAGAGAGAGACTCACCTCAGTTGCGTCTGATCACAACCTTACGGGATGCACCTGCAGCTTCAAAGTGAGGTGTGATCTCAAAACTGCGTGTCAAATCCCTCCGAAGGAAATAGCCTCACTTCTGATGTTCCCTCTAAGCCGTGGAGTCTTGTGAGCAAAACTTCTACTTTGTGAGCTACTGGCATTAAAGTTGTGAGCGAGCGATTGGGCTGCTGCATAAATTAGTTTGCTCTGGAGCCCCATCCTTCCTGAGCTAAGGAAAAAATTTGTGAGCCGGAGGCTAAAAAACTGTGAGCTAGCTCACACTAACTCAGCTTAGAGGGAACACTGCTCACTTCCCCTCCAGCTCAACTCGCACGTGTGACTGCAACCTTTGGCTTTCTGTTTCATATTCTACTGGAAGGTTAAGTTATTATAATTTAACTACACACTGAACTCTCAGTAATCCATTGCTGCCTTTTCCTCTCATCTCTAAAAATTCAAAATATTATTCCATAGAGGTCGGGTAGTCATCTTAATCTGCTGTAGAGAAAGTCATGATTTCTTTTGTGCTTTACCTTGTGATATTAGAGGAGGTGGTCATAATGCCAAAGTGTTTAGAATTCATTTAAGACTCTATTTCACTTCCTGTATTTGTCCACACCAGAGCAAGAGGGACCCCAACTCTACATACACTGAAGACAACCTCTCCCAGGACATATTTGACCTCTTTATCGCAGGTTCTGACACAACTGCCTCAACTCTACAATGGGCTCTGCTCCTCATGGTGAATCATCCTGATATCCAAGGTGAGAAAGTCTTGTGGATTGCGACCAAAGGCCACCTTTGAACACATGAAACTGCCTTGTATTGAATTAGACCCCTGGTCCATCAAGGTCAAAATTGTCTACTCAGACTGGCAGCTGCTCTCCCGGGGCTCAGGCTGAGGTCTTCAGCATCACCTCCTTGTTGCTCCTTTTAACTGGAGATGATGGGGATTGAACCTGGGACGTTCTGCATGCCAAGCAGAGGCTCTACCACTGAGCCCAGAAATATATGGCAATAAGCTCAGGGGAAGCATATGGAGTCACAGGAGGAACAGTTTGGAGAGCCAGTTTGGCGCAGTGGTTAGAGTCTAGGACTAAGGAATTCCTCTGAAAGTTCAACCCTTTGTCCCATGCAGTTTTCTTGACTTAAAAATCTTGTACAAACTTGCTGTAGAAAAAGTAACAGGCACCCAGATTGTGCCAATCTTTTCCTAGGTCAGAGTTACGTTAGCTGCTGTGAGGGGAGTTCCGATCACTGTGAGGTGAGTTCCTATCACAGAAGCAACAAGGGGAACAAACTACTATCTTCATGTAGATCGTGGAATCCCCTTAAGTATTATAGAAACCTGGGTGTTCCTGCCATGGACCTCGCATATCACATACAGTTTGGTCGTCAGTTTTGCTCTTGGACATGTGGATGTGTGTGTGTTTCAGAAACCTTTAATAGCATAAATGTAATAAAATGCAGAATAGTCTTACATAAATAAGATAGGAATAGTACAATCCTGGTGAGAAAATAAAACAGTTTCAGGAATAAGAACACAGGTCCCTGCCACACAGCAGGGAAACGGAGGGCTGATCTGCGGCAAATGTGAGCCGCACCAAAGTTGGAACGCCGCGGCGGGATCCCACAGATCCCCGGAGCCGCGGCGCGTCACTCCCCGGCACGATCAGATGCCGGGGAGGAAGAGTTGGCTGGGAGGGGGAGGCTGCCGAACTGCGCATGCTCGAGCATGCGCAGTACGGCAGGGGGCCGGGAAGCACCAGCGCAAATACAAGCCGGCCGATCCCACGGCCCGGCTTGCGGCGCTCCAACGGATTCCACCACCTCGGTAGGTGGTTCTGTTTTCCTGCGCGGTATCGCCGGTAGGGACGGAACCGGGACGGATCCGGCACGCTCCCCAGATGTTGAGGTGGGATCGTGCCGGTTTGCTCCGCCCCCGTTCCGTCCCGCTCCCGGCCCAACTGGGCTCGTATGAACGGGGCCACAGAAGAGCAAAATTAATCAGGTATTCTCTGCCTTAGCCTTAGAAACGTAGTTACCCTTATTCAACACAATAGCCAAATACTCACCCACAAGTTCTGTCACTTTGATGGATTTATCAGCAAGTAAATATTGGGTGAGGAGCTGCGGTGGCTCAAGTGGTTAAGACGCTGAACTGCAGGCTGTGGAAGGTCGGTAGTTCAGCAGTTCGAGACCCAGGGGTGTCGCATGACGGAGTGAGCTCCCGTCTCAGTTCGAAAGCAAGAAATTCCAAGTAGATAAATAGGTACCACTTCAGTGGGAAGGTAACAGTATTCCGTACACCTTGTTGTTTAGTCATGCCAGCCACATGACCATGTAAATGTCTTCGGACAGCGCTGGCTCTTCGGCTTTGAAATGGAGATGAGCACCGCAACCCTAGAGTCGGATTCGACTGGCTTTCGAGCAAGGGAACCATTACCCTTTTTTAAATATTGGGTAATTCTCTCTGGGGGGCCAGAGAGGTTGGAAATAACAGGATCAAGGAGTTGCTGACGAACATTATTATGAACATTACTGCGAAGTAAAATGTGGGAAATGGAATCAGGTTCCAGTAAACAGTATGTACATAATCTATTTTTAAAGGGTATATTAAGATATCTGCTTGAAAGAACACCTAAAGGGAAAATATTCAGTCTCGTGAGCATAAAGGCCGAATGCTGTCGAGGACTGGTAAGATTTTGCATGTAAACAGCTCCTAACCCTGGGGTAAACAGCAGGCCACAAAAACAAGGAGAGAAAATCCTGCTGGTTCCCACAGCAATGGCCTGGCTTTCAATGGCGGAATCTGCATTTGTCTTTCCCACCAGTGTCCCAGCCTTTTGACTCCGTCTTCAAAAAAGCTGTCTACATTTGATGTTGTTTTCACACCTCAAGAGTGCTAGCATACTTTTGCATGTCCACATATGTTTATCATCCTTTCGGGACAGCTCCACTGTCATTGCACCTCCACACTGCTTTAAACGAATCTTCTCCAAACAACATTCAAACAAGCATAGAGAAAGACAGTGTCACAGCAGTACGAAAATGATTTAAAAATGCAAATGCAGATTCGGCCAATATCCCAAATTCTCTGACAGATAGTATGTGGATGCTCTCTTCATATCAAGAAGAGAAACCTTGTATGATTGAGAGCTTGCACATGAAGTTATTGAACTTCCAGATTTCTTTTTCTGTCATGTATTGAACATAAACAGCAACTTAAGGACTAACATGTTTTTCTTTAAAAGCTCAAGTGGGCTCTTTGGGGAGAAATCCACAAAAGCCTGTTTGAAAATAAAGTATTCAAGGTGCCACAAGACTCCAGTTAATTCTGTAAAAGAGAGAGGGGCATACTTAAGGATAGGAGGGTTAATTTCCCTGGAAGCCTATAAAGTATAAGCTAGAACCATTAGGTACCATGTGGCAGAGTCACAGCTGTGTGGGCCTGAAATAGGCCAGAATGTGCTTATTTTCTATGTATTTTAAGGGAAATGTTCATCTTGGCTTTGTAATAATTCTGAATCTAAAGGGGGGAGACTAATTTTGTTCACTGGGTTTTTTTTAACAATATATTTATTAGGTTTTTTATATTATAGGCCTATATCATATACATACAAACAAACAAGAACTTCAACAAAACTATATGCAAAAAACCTAAAACTACATGCAAAAAACCTAAGATATTATAGGCCTATATCATATACATACAAACAAACAAGAACTTCAACAAAACTATATGCAAAAAACCTAAAACTACATGCAAAAAACCTAAGACATGCAAAAAACCTTAAACTTTCAGCAACACAGATTAACAAAGAAGCTAAACAAAAAATGTTTATTCTGTTATTATATTCAACCTTTAGGTCAGTTCTTGAGTAGTTACTTCTATCTCTGTTTTGCCCCCAAAATTGCACTGTTAGATCATATTAATAGCATAAGATATTCAATCATCATTAGCTTCACGATTCAAGGTTCTAACTATTACTATTACACCTCTTTCAGTAGTCTGCCAGTTTCTTGCTTTCAGTATAAGAACAGGGTTTAATATTACAATTTTTTAGGATTTTTTTTTCTTTTGTTACCCTTTAACATTTTCATTCAATCTCTACGGTGTGTAAATTGATTTGTCATTCTGTTGGAACCAATATATCAAGCTTAGTTTGAAGGTTAATTCTACAATTCATTAAATAAACATTTTGCATTTTAATCTTCCAGTTATATTTTGCCAGATCTTTATCTTTCTTTGCTTTCTCAAAATTAATCTTTATCCAACACAGTCATGCTAAACTATTACCCAAATTAATTAGAACTTAATTACACCATTGTGATACAATACTCTAACACAATTAGATACAAATAAACAAATATTCATTCAAATTCTAACCTCTACTATTACATTAACAATTATTCCACTAATTTGCCAATTCATTGTTTTTTAATATAAGTACCAACTGTAAATTTGGTAATCTTTACATATTTTACTTTTACTATCAATTTATTGGGACCATTGTACTAATCTTAACATAGGTTCAAATTAACACTCAAAATCATACTAAACTATTTATAAAAATTAATTACAATTTGACCAGAATATTCTAATATCATTAAACATAATTGAACATCTTTAAACAATTACACATTTAATCATCCTTATTATTACCAGTTTATCTTTAAATATTTTATTTTATTAACAATTTATTTGGACCCTTGTATTAATTTTTAGCTTGGAGATTCATATTTTCACTCAAAATCATATTAAATTGTTATTAAAATTAATTACCACTTAACTATAATATTCTAACATATTTAAACATAATTTAGCACCATTAAACAATTTAGCATCCCTATTTTTACTACCACCTTTTGTCTTTAAATTACACATAATTACACTTTCTTAAACATCACGAATATACGGCAAAGTTTTTTTTATTTTAAATATAACTTTATTAACAAAATTAAACAATAAACAACAATGAAAACAGTTACAACCTTCGATATACATGGTTTTAACATATCGTTGTTAACATAGATAATCTTAAGATATATCAGAATATTCCATCAATAAAAAAACAAATTCTTTATATTTATCTGGTAACTTGAAACTTTGAGACTGTTCATTGTTTACATAGTTCAAAAATACAAACCACTTTTCATTAAACGATGAAATAAAATTGTGCGAGTCTTGTATGGCTATTTGGGTTGAAATTTTGTCAGATATTATATTATCCCAAACCTTAGATTTCCAATATTTATTCTCCAATTATATCCTTTTCCATCCTGATAGCATTTGTTATATAATCCTGTAACCCATGCGTGATCTGACATCGTAATGGACCCAATATCTGCTTCTTTAAAAAATTTTAGCAATGTTTTTGATATTAAAATATAGTCAATACGTGTATATACTTTATGAGTGTGTGAAAAAAAATGTGTACTGTCGTGTTCCTGGATTTAACAAACGGCAAAGATCTATGAAGTTGTGTTGTTCTAATAAATTTGCTAATTCTGTTGGGGTCATCTTAGATTTATGAAGGGTCGTATTCTTGCCAGGGCTAGAAGATGTTGTGTCTAGTTTTCTGTCAACAATGTAGTTTAAATCACATCCAATGATTAATTCGCCTTCCTTAAACTCCCTAAGACTTTTCAAAGTAGCTTTTAAGAAATTAATTTGTCCGTCATTTGGGGCGTATATTGACGCCAAAGTTATTGGCTCTCCATACATGGTACCCTTTAAAAACAAAAACCTACCTGTAGGATG